TGCTAGAATCAGTTAAAGCAATCAAAACACAGAACTATGTAGCACTTTAAAGACTAACAAGATGGTTATTAGATGATGAGCTTTCGTGGGCCAGACCCACTTCCTCAGATCAAAAACAGTCTTTAAAGTGCTATTTAGTCCTGTATTTTGCTTCAGCTACACCAGACTAACACGGCTACATTTCTATTACTATTTTAAAGTGCTAGAATCAGTTAAAGCAATCAAAACACAGAACTATGTAGCACTTTAAAGACTAACAAGATGGTTATTAGATGATGAGCTTTCGTGGGCCAGACCCACTTCCTCAGATCAAAAACAGTCTTTAAAGTGCTATTTAGTCCTGTATTTTGCTTCAGCTACACCAGACTAACACGGCTACATTTCTATTACTATTTTAAAGCAATCAGGCCAATTAGAACACCTGGAACCAATTAGGAGGCTTCCAGTCAAGGGAGCCAGACTAATTAGAACACCTGTGGGCCAATTAGAAACCAGATGAGATTTTTTTAAAAAAGGCTTCCCTTCTGTTTTCTCTGATGAAAATAAGTGTGGTGGAGAGTCTTGGGGAAGAACTTCTGGCAATGAAGATGCTAGGGAACACTATGGGGTTGTGGCTTAGGGATTTGTAGCTGTCATGCAATGTTATTAGAAACTTTACAGACAGCAACTATTATAGGGTCCCTTGACTAGAAGCCAGAGTAGAGGGCAGGCCTAGGTTCCCTCTACCATCAACTTCCCATTTGAGAACTAGAATGAGAATGCTGGTTTTGGTACAAGGGTTTGTCCTACCCTATACCATTGGGAGAGGCTGCAAAGACTATGATGCTTGGTTTCCCCTATGTTCCCCATGCTGGTCAGTGATAAGAGTAGCTTAACAAACAGCAAGCCAGTGTCTGAATTGAGATCTGTGAGCCTCTGAGGCAAGTAAATCCACCTGAAAGCACAGGACCCACTAAGTGTAAGGAGGAGCTTTGTCACTGTATAAATATGTAACGCCTACATTTTTTAAAGGAAAAAATAGGAAAGGTGACTTGCTGAAGAACACAATGTAAGCAGGGCCGGCTCTAGGCACCAGCAAAACAAGCAAGTGCTTGGGGCGGCACATTGCCGGGGCGGCATTCTGGCCCGCAGGAGGAGCAGGGCGGTGGGGATCCCCGTGAAGGCCGTCATGATCTGGGAGCTCTGCGCCCGGCTGCTCGGAGCCTGTGCCTGGTCCCAGGGTGCTGGGAGGGCAGGGCAGGGTGGGGTGGGGTGCTAGGAGGGTAGGGCATTGGGCCCTGGTGCAGGGAGGCCACGGCTGGTGACGCTGAGCCCGGCGGGGCAGGCTGTGGCCATGGTGGCTGCTCCCGGCAGCCGGCTCACTGGGACGGAGTTCAGGGGCCCGGTGGGCGCTGGGGCTCCGCTGCAGCGGGGCCCCATCCCCAGAGTGAGGAGCCTCACGGAGGCTACCCAGAGCTAGGAGCCCCGCGCCCGGCTGCTCAGAGCCTGCGCCTGGCCCCAGGGCACTGGGAGCTCTGCATGGGCAGCCCCGAGGCGTGGCCCCCGCTGGGAGGGTGGTGTAGAGCGGCCACGGCTGGTGAGGCTGAGCCTGGTGGCCTCTTCTTTGCCTTTGTGAGTGTGCCCCCCCATTCATGTGCACCCCCTGCCGGCCACCTCCTCTTCCATGCACCCTCCCCGCAACCCCCCCTCCC